AAGAAAAGGATTAAGTCACATACAAGGGATCTCAATTAGAATAAAAGCTGATTTTTCAGCAGAAACTTTATAAGCCAGGAGAGTTTAAGCTGATATATTCAAAGTGCTGAAAAACAAAACAAACAAACAAAAAACCCTGACAGCCAAGATTATGGCTAACAATGCTATCCTTCAGATATGAAGATATAAAATCTTTTCTAGACAAGCAAAAACAAAGAATTCATCACCACTAAACTGGGTTTGTTAAGAAATGTTTAACGGGATCCTACATCTAAAAGCTTAAGTGGATAATAAGGAAATATCATTAAGTGAACAAATATTTACATTATTGGAATTCCACAAGAAGAAAAGATGAGAAAAGGCACAGAAAACCTGTTTAATGAAATAATAGCTAAAACCTTCCCAATTCTTGGGAAAGATTTGGACATCCTGATCCCGGAAACTCAAAGATCCCCAAATAGTTTCAGTATGACAGTTAAAGTGTCAAAAGTCAAAGACGAAGAGAGAATTTTAAAAACATCAAAAGAAAAGGATTAAGTCACATACAAGGGATCTCAATTAGAATAAAAGCTGATTTTTCAGCAGAAACTTTATAAGCCAGGAGAGTTTAAGCTGATATATTCAAAGTGCTGAAAAACAAAACAAACAAACAAAAAACCCTGACAGCCAAGATTATGGCTAACAATGCTATCCTTCAGATATGAAGATATAAAATCTTTTCTAGACAAGCAAAAACAAAGAATTCATCACCACTAAACTGGGTTTGTTAAGAAATGTTTAACGGGATCCTACATCTAAAAGCAAAGGAATGATAACTACCTTCATGAAAACAAGCAAAAGTCAGCAGGGCATGGTGGCTCATGCCTGTAATCCTAGCATTCTGGGAGGCCGAGGCGGGTGGATTGTTCAAGGTCAGGAGTTCAAGACCAGCTTGAGCAAGAGCAAGACCCCGTCTCTACTAAAAATAGAAAGAAATTATCTGGACAACTAAAAAACAAAACAAAACAAACAAACAAACAAACAAAAAAATATATATATATAAAATTAGCCAGGCATGGTGGTGCATGCCTGTAGTCCCAGCCACTCGGACTACTCGGGAGGCTGAGGCAGTAGAATCATTTGAGCCCAGGAGTAGGTTGGTGTGAACTAGGCTGATACCAAGGCACTCTAGCCCAGGCAAAAAAGCCAGCCTCTGCCTCAAAAAAAAATAAAAAATAAAAAACAAGCAAAAGTATAAAACTCAATGGTCGAGCAAATACACAAATGAGAAAGGAATCATATCTTATCACTACAGAATACCACCAAAGTACAGATAAACAGGAAAAAAAAGAAAGAAGAAACAAAAACTATACAAAACAATCAGAAAACAAATATGTTTATAGCAAAATATGCCTACATCAAAAAATATTTCGAATAAACAACCTAACAATACACCTCAAGGAACTAGAAAAGCAAGAAAAAACCAAACCCAAAATCGGTAGAAAGAAAAAAAATACTAAAGATTAGAGCAGGAATAAAAATAGAGACTAAAAAAAGACACAAAAGATCAATAAAACTAAAAGGTTGTTTTTTGAAAAGATTAAAAGAATGGACAAACCATTGGCTAAATTAACTAGAAAAAAAGGAAAAGACCCAAATAAATAAAATCAGAAGTGAAAAAGGAGACATAACTGATATCACAGCAATACGAAAGATCATTATAGAGACCATTACAAATATATGCCAACCTAAAAAATATGGATAGGTTTCTATACACAAACTGCCAAGATCAAACCAGTAAGAAATAGAAAACCTGAACAGATGAATAATAAGTAACAAGACTAAATCAGTAATAAAAAGTGGGCTAAGGATATGAATAGGCATTTTTCAAAAGAAGACAAACAAATGGCTACCAAGCATCTGAAAAAATGTTCAACATCACTAATCATCAGAGAAATGCAAATTAAAACCACAATGAGATATCTCTTACACCAATCAGAATGGCTATTATTAAAAAGACAAATAACAACAGATGTGGGTGAGGATTCAGAGAAAAGGAAACTCTTATAACTGTTGGTTGGAATGTAAATTAGTACAACTTCTGTGGAAAGCAGTATAGAGATTTCTCAGTATAGAGATTTCTCAGATAACTAAAAATAGAGCTACCACATAGAGCTAGCAAAATACCTCAGATGTTTAATGCAGCAATATTCACAATTGCAAAGATATGGAATCAACCTAAGTGTCCATCAGTGAATGACTGGATTTTAAAAAGTAGTATATATGCACAATGGAATGCTATTTAGCTGTAAAAACAAAGGAAGAATGAAATTATTTCTTCAGCAGCAACATGGATGTAACTGGAGGCTATTCCTTAAGTGAAACAACTCGGACACAGAAAGACAAATACTGCATGTTCTTATAAGTGGGAGCTAAATAATGTGGATACGTAGAAACAGAGTGTGGAATGACAGACAAGGAGACTCAGTGGCGGTCAAGGGAGTGGATGATGGAAGGCTGTTTAGTGGGTACAATGTGTGCTGCCTCACTGACGTGCTCACTGAAGACCTTGACTTCACCATTATGCAATATATCAATGAAGGAAAAATTGCACCTGTACAAATAAAAAATAAATGGGAAATAAAGCCTCCTAACAAAAAAGGCCCAGGACCAGTTTGCTTCTCTGCTGAGTTCTAACAAACTTTTAAAGGACAGAAAACACGAATACTACTCAAATGATTCCAAAAACCTGAAGGGGAGTGAACTCTTCCAAACTCATTCCATAAGGCTTGCCCTGATATCAAAACCAGATAAGAATACAAGAAAAGAAAACTACAGGCCAATATTCCTGATAAACATAGATGCAAAAATCCTCAATGAAACAGTAGTGAACCAAAACCAACAGCACATCAAAAAGATTATATGCCATGATCAAGTGGGATACATGTCAGGGATGTAAGGATGGTTCGAAACATACAAATGAATACACGTGATACATCACATCAACAGAATAAAGGACAAAAATCATATAATTATCTCAATAGATACAAAAAATACATTTGATAAAATTCAACATCTCTTCATTATAAAAACTCTGAACAAATCAGGTACCCAAGGAGCATACCTAAGCATAACCATCATCATACTAAATGGGGAAAGGTAAAAGTCTTCCCTCAAAGAACTAAAACAAGGCAAGGATGCCCACTTTCACCACCATTATTCAACATAGTACTAAAGGTCCTAACCAGAGTAATCAGGCAAGAAAAAGAAATAAAAGGCATCCAAATTGAAAAGGAAGAAGTCAAATTGTCCCTGTTTGCAGTTGATCTTATATACACAAAAAGACTCCATCTAAAGACTCCACCAAAAAACTCTTAGAATTTATAAATTAAATGGATTTAGTAAAGCTGCAGGACACAAAATCAACATACAAAAATCAGTAGCATTTCCATACGCCAATAATGAACTACCTGAAAAAGAAACCAAGAAAGCACTCCCTTTTGCGACAGCCACAAAAAATAAAATACCTAAGAAAAAATTTAACTAAGGAAATTAAAGATCTCTACAATGAAAACTATAAAACAATGATGAGGCCATTATGCTAAATGAAATAAACCAGACACAGGAAGACAAATACTGCATGATCTCACTTGTCTAGGGAATCTAAGACAGCCAAACTACAGAAGCAGACAGTAGAGTGGCTGCTGAGGGTAGGGACAGGGGCGAATGGGAGTGGGTGTTGCTGGTCAAATGGTACACGTGTCGGTTATGCAAGATGAAAAAGTTCTGAAGATCTGATATAAGCATGGTGCCTTCAGTTAACAATATATATTGTACACTTGAAATTTGCTAAGAGGATAGATCTTAAATGTTCTTAACACACACACACATAACACACACGAAGGAAAACAGTAATTATGTGAGGTGATGGGTGTATTAGCTTAATTATGGTGATCATTTCACATTGTATACACATAATCAAAACATCAAATGTACACAATTGGTAAACCTTAAATATACACATTTTTATTTGTCAATTATACTTCAATAAATCTGCAAAAAAAACCCACTTCTAAGGGAGAAAGCAAAAATGAAGAGGAGGGCAGGATGACAGAAAATAGGAGCTGAGCTGAATGTGAGAGAATGAGGTAAGAGTAAAAGAGAGAAAAATGATGGCAAGCTACTAATGTTTTGAGGCAAGATAATGACAGTACGGGACAACAGGGAGAGAGCTAGAATTTAATTAAGACACTACATTAGTATGATATGCCAAAAGCATTAGAAATGTGTATGCCCTTAGTTCACATCTAAGAAAATTATGGAAATAAGCAGAGCTTTGTGGCAGTTTACAGGTCGTTTTCATTGTCTTACTATCTTCTTTGTGTTTCTGTGCTTTCTGTTTCTTCCAAATTCTTTGCAAGAAATATATTATATATATATTTTTTTTTTTTTTTTTTGAGACAGAGTCTCACTTTGTTGCCCAGGCTAGAGTGAGTGCCATGGCGGCAGCCTAGCTCACAGCAACCTCACACTCCAGGGCTCAAGCGATCCTACTGCCTCAGCCTCCCGAGTAGCTGGGACTACAGGCATGCGCCACCATGCCCGGCTATTTTTTCTGTATGTATTAGTTGGCCAATTAATTTTCTCTTATTTATAGTAGAGACGGGGTCTCGCTCTTGTTCAGGCTGGTTTTGAACTCCTGACCTCGAGCAATCCACCCGCCTCGGCCTCCCAGAGTGCTAGGATTACAGGCGTGAGCCACCGCGCCCGGCCGTATATTATATTTATAATCAGGAAAAAAACGTTATATGAACAGAGTAAAATAAAACACTAGAGTCTAATCCTTGGTACTCTAAGTGTGATAGCTTATTAGAAATGCAAAGTCCTGAGCCCCTCCAAAACTAGGGGATCAGAATCCACAGGTGAACAATCCGCAAATGGTCCCCACGCAAATCTGTAGTCTGAGAGGTACTAGCTGCCCCTCTAGCTCCTACACCCCTCGCAATGGACGATGCACCTACCAGCATCTGCTCTAAAGTTCCTCGGTGAAGACATGTTGTCCCCATAGCCCAAGTGAGATGGGTAAAAGGCTTCTGCAGATACTAAGTCTTAGTGTCCTACAAGTCAAGCAGAAGTTCTAATTAGTATCCGGGGGACAGCATACAATTGTTGTTTACATGGTCAAACACAAAGCAATAGATTTTCTATTAGACAACTGGAGTTTCCACAGTTTTGACATATTATTACTTATTAATTCACTCACTGAGTACTCAATTCTTTAAATGCCAAACCTAAGCTAAATCAGGTGCTGGGAATTCATTTGATACTGAATAAATAAGAATTAACTACAGAGCCCATATCCAAGGAGTTCATGCTTATTCAAACTATAAAAAGTCCTAACACAGAATAAATATTTTTTTCTTTTCTAATCTTTGCAGTAATTGGCCTGTACATTGCTCTTATTGGTTAAAATCAAGAAATTTTTTGTCTGAAGACCTTTTCATCAATTACCTGCAAATGAAATGGGATTACTGTAATCTGAATCTAAAGTTAATGTTGTGAAACAAACATATTTTAAAACTTTGAGTATAGGATGTTTAAAAACTGTTTAAAACATAGATGTAAGGCAAAAAGATAGGTGGCATGTCCCCTTCAGTGTCATACAATGGTGACAGGCCATCCAAACGATTATTTATGCACAGAAATTGTACTTGTTCAACTCAATGCTACTATTGATTAAAATGCCTAGACTTAGTGAAATTACATGGTAACCTATAGATTTTTGTCCAGTGGTAATATAAATAATTTCTATCTGATAAAAAGCTAATACCAAAGATTATAATTTATTGCCCTGCCCAGCATTAACTAGGTTTTTTTAAGCTAACCTAGCATTCTTACTCTAACACTGGTTTAAAATGCCAATAAAAACCCATATCCTCAAAGTGTTCTTTGAATTACCTTTGCCATCTTCTTGGTTTCTTCACTAAATCACTAATTAATAAATTGATTAAAATCATTTCATTTCAAATATGTATGGGTCACATGTTAATTTTTTTAAAAACTCTACTTTGACAAGGGGATAAAAAAACATATCTTTTTTTAAAAGGAGGACAGCAGTGGCCTTGTGACTGGCAAAAAGGTAATGGGCTCCAGTGACCAACCTTCCCTGGAGGTAGACCCAAGATGTTAAAGATCCCACTGTTAACTAAGAACCTCTTTAGAAAGACAACCAAGCTTTGGCCTCTCAGCTATGTGATTAAAAATATTTAAAATAGGCCGGGAGCGGTGGCTCACACCTGTAATCCTAGCACTCTGGGAGGCTGAGGCAGGCGGATTGCTCAAGGTCAGGAGTTTGAAACCAGCCTGGGCAAGAGTAAGACCCCGTCTCTACTATAAATAAAAAGAAATTAATTGGCCAACTAATATATATAGAAAAAATTAGCCGGGCATGGTGGCGCATGCCTATAGTCCCAGCTACTTGGGAGGCTGAGGCAGGAGGATTGCTTGAGCCCAGGAGTTTGAGGTTGCTGTGAGCTAGGCTGACGCCATGGCACTCTAGCCTGGGCAACAGAGTGAGACTCTGTCTCAAAAAAAAAAAAAGAAAAAGAAAAAAAATATTTAAAATAGTACAATTTTAATTAAAGACAATTAAAAAGAATTTCCTTTGAAATTTAATCAAATAATTTTTAAGATATTCCTTGATAACTGGAGACACTTATTTAAATACGAGGGTTTAAATATGCTATACCCTGCATTCCACAAATAAATATGTGAATGGCCCTTGGCCCCAACAACTTATGCTCTTTATATAAATACACACATACACATTAGTAAGATCTCTCTAACATATAGATGAGTAGACTGAAATCCATGTCCATCCATACTAACAGTTACCTGTTTCAAATCTTCCATAAAAATCAGCAATGCTTCCAGAACAAACAGCTTCAATCAGAAATGCATGCCCATTTGTGACATTTTAACAAACACCAGTGCAGTGAGTCAGAGATAATCCTACAGAAACACAAAAATAAACTAGATGAATTTCTGTTCCCTTACATGTTATCTAGTATATATTAGAACAAATAGAAAAAACAAATCAATATTAAGATGATTAACATTTAATTCAATTTTTGAGTTGCAACCACTGTAGTAAACCAGTAACAATGTAAGATCATACAATTCACCATCAACATATATGTATTGAAAGCTGAGGCAATCTATAAAGTCTACAAAAGTAAAAGTTTTTCAGGAAATATAGCACACCTTTTACCGTATTTCTCACCTCCCTTCAAGTTTGGCTAAGTAAGTCCCATAAATGCTTCCCCTATAATGTATGTGCTTTATAATGATTTCTGGATTCATCTCCTCAAGTCAGACTATAAGCATCTTGAGGAAAGGAACTGTAAATTTTTCACTTTTGTAGTGTCAGTGACCAGCACATTGGAGACACTCATGAAATGTTTGATGGATTAATTCATTAACTCCATGAAAAGTGTATGCATCCTCAGGGAATTAATCTGCATATCCACCTTAAGAACTCTGGGAAGTCCCAGAGGTCTTCCTTGCATGATATACACTGAGTCCCCGAGGGAAAGACCATGAAAGACATTTAGGGACCTACGGTCAGGTCCTTAAGATAAATGTTTCTCTCCAACTCCTGGGGAAGATACTGAAGTGTAGAAAATCAGGAAACTAACCCTGAATAAAGGGAAACCTAAAAAAGTATTGTCTATTCCAGGATACAGCACTGAGGATAGAGGGAAAAAAGCTCCAATATGGTTCTAAGTGATCCCAACTGATCCTAAGAGGAAAAAACACAAGTGTTTGGTTTCTGCAGGCAACCAAAGCAGGACGTTTTTCTTCAAGAGTTAGGGTGACACAAAAGTGCCAATGAATACTTCACATATTATCAATTCTCGGTTGGGGTGCTATTTTCAGTCTATCTCAAACTCTCTCAAACCTGAAACGGGTGCTAACAAAAACCACTTCTTCATAGCAGACTCCGGGTTGGGTGCAAGATGCCAAACACAGAATTTTAAATGATATGCTCAACACCTTGTCCTGGCAATTCTTTCCTCAAGGGCTGGGACTGCTTCAAACTCTTGTGACGGTGACCTATACTAGGACAGATAGCAATAAAAGCAGCAGCCCTAAAGCCCCAAAGCTCAATTCTGATGGACACTTGCTACCCTATAGTCACCCCTAGGCTAAGAGTTCCTCCCTATGAAATCTGTATTTTCTGTGACCAAATTCCCAGTATAAGATTCTTGGACTATTATTAATTATTTGGTATGTTTTCTGCCTTTTAAGAATTATTTATTGTTTTTAGTTTCTTTTAAGGAAAATTATTGTTACTGTTTTCCAACTATAAGGATAACCAATACTCGTAGCATAAGTAAAGTTACCAAGGGGAAATTTCATTCAGTGGTTTACTAATCATTCTTTACAGCAAGTGAGCATGGGACAGGGAGTGCATGGGAGAGGAGCAGGGAGGAAGGAAGTGCTATCTCCAGAGCTACTGAAGGTGTGGCAGTGCAATCAGGCAAAAAAAAAAAAAAGAAAGAAAGAAAAGGAAAGGAAAGGAAAGGAAAGGAAAGGAAAGGAAAGGAAAGGAAAGGAAAGGAAAGGAAAGGAAAGGAAAGGAAAGGAAAGGAAAGGAAAATAGAGGGATTAAAATTGGGAAGGAAGAAAGAAAACCATCTTTATCTGCAGGATTTTTAAGAAATGAAACTATTTTATATGATACATATATGTAACCTTAACACTTGTACCCCCATAATATGCTAAAATTAAAAAAAGGAAAAAAAAAGATATATAACTATACCTCAAAAAGGTTGCTTTTAAAAAGCCATGGAAAGATAATCTTAAAATAAGAAACAGAAATAATCATGTAAAGATAATAACAATCAAGTTTCAATGAAAGTTTAAACATTAAAGAAATAGTCATCACCCACCAATCATAGATAAGAGAGCAAACTGTCGCCACTTGTGTTAGCAGCAAGCTCATTAAGGATTACTGCAGGACTCCACTGGAACAGTGGAATACTTAAGGTTCTAAAAGCACTGGAACCCTATGTCAACAATGCTTAGCCACTTGCAACCCAGGGACTGACGCTACAGTTACCATGAGCTACCCTCTGAGCAAATACTTTTTCAATTATAACAATGGCACAAGTAAAAATAACTAAATCACTTAAAACGTCTTTTTTGAAATGACTTCATTATTTGGATGTTTCTGCTACTTAGATGCCAAGGTAAACAATATCCTACTGTTTGTTTCATTCATAATATAAATCAATTTGACATATTCACTTCAACCTCCTGAACCTCAGGTCCATCTGTCTATCTGTCCTGTCTTTCTTCCTTCCTCTCTTACCTTCTTTTCTCTCTCTTTTTGAAATACACCAGTAAATACATGACACTGGTTTATTTCAAAACGCATAGTTCCTGTACCTCCAATCAGTAGACATTGGCTTCCATAACCCAAAGAACTACAGATGTATAGGGTACAGCTGAACCATTTCCATAACTGAGATCATGTCAATCAGGAACTTACCCACATAATGTATATGTGCAGACAAGAGTTCACAAAGCAGGCCTGAGCCTGCTCCCCTTAGAAAGGCCTGCTTGCAAGGTTGGTCCTTGGCTGGTGTCTGGGAACTTGAATGGTAAAACAGTAAGCTACAGTAACATAAAACTTTGTCTAAATAATAGGAGAAGCTCACTGTGCCTAGACTGTACAATGTTTGTATGCTGAACACTTGCTTTCCTGCTGGGTGTCTGGAATTTCAGTGACTGCCATCAGTCACACTGGCAAGCCATGCCCATGACTGACCTCCAATAAAGACGCTATACTCTCGGGTTAAGGTAAGCTTCTTTGCCAGACAACACTTCACAAAAGTTTCAACAACTTTTTGCTTGGGGAATTAAGTACATCCTGTGTAACTCCACTAAGAGATAATTCTGGGAACTTTGTGTATGATTTCCCTTTGCTGATTTTGCTTTGTACTCTTTCATTGTCATGAACCTCAGGCATGAATATGACTGTATGCTGAGTCCTGAGTCCTAGCCAATCACTGACCCCGGGAGTGGTCTTGGAGGGCCTTGACAGAGCATAATTTTACCTAGCCTGGGGAACACACTGCCACTCTCCTACTTTCTGCCTCACAATTCCCAAGAGAGATAAATCTACACAGCATTACCTGCATGTCATCCCTGGGCAATCACAGAATACCCATCTCTGCAAAAGAAGAAAGAAAATAATTGTGTAATGCTTCATTATTTTTACTGCAAATAATTTTGCATACAAGGCCCGCTTGCATCTAACCATTTTTATAAGAAGTTTTTGGGAAGTAAGAAGCTAATATCCTCTTAAAATGAAAATGCACCTGTCTAACAAAATTTAGCTTGTTCTATGATGAAGAGAGGAATTCCAGACAAATGCCTTCTAATGTATAATCAATGGCCATATATAAATAAGGCCCCAAACTTACAGATTCAATAAAAGATTATTAAACTGAGGCAGGTTCCAAGTAAAACTGTAAAACACCATGTCTGTCCCACCTGAGACTCACACTCTCCTTCCAACATGTCTACCCTACTTATTCCCTCAAGACTCAAATTTCAAACCAATTCTTATAAGCTATGAACATTTTAATAGCAGTATCCTAAAAAAAAAAACCAACAAGTCACCTAAAGGGCAGGGAAGGCAACTAAATTAAGGAGCATAAAGAAGCGCGCGCGAGAGAGAGAACGTCCTGACTTCACTTAAATTATGTCCATGCATCCACATATCCCTAAAGGGATATATTTAGTCATCTAATATGTAAAATAAAAGATTTAGAACAGTGCTATCAGCAAAATGGATTTTTTCAGGGACAAAATTTTTAAAGTCCATAAACTCTCTCCTTAAAACACTGAAGATCATATGCTATGGTTATAATATTCTTCTCTGAACTGAGAGCTCCATATAGCAACTTTTAGAAGCACACAATCAGAGAAAAAAGAAAAGGCATGTTCCTACTCTCCTATCCTCAGCAGGAATCCTCCCTGTGAGAAGTTAATAGGGAGAAAAGAAACCAAATATTCTAGAGCTTTTTACATCACTTAACACTTTGAACCCTGAGCTCTCTCTCTGCAGGCTGGTAAAAAAAAAAAAAAAAAAAAGCAAGTTCTCCACATCTGAAATTCTTCCCTCCCTCAGCTCATCGTGCCCACCTTCTCCTTTCTCTGTGGTCCCCAAAGCCAGATATGAAGTGAAAAGTGGAAAACCACTGCCCTGTGATGGGGCAGTAATGACTGTGTTATCCACTTCTATAAAGGAAGCTATTCCTAAATAACAACAAATGGCATTCAGATGTTTATAGCCATTTTATTCATCATCACCAAAAACTAGAAGCAACCAAGATATGCTTCAATATTTGAGGGATAAACAAATTATGGTATAATCATATAATGGAACATTATTCAATGATAACAGAAATGATCAAGCCATAATAAGCTATGGAGGAACCTTAAATGAATGTTGCTAAGGGAAAAAAGCTAATCTGAATAGGCTAAATACTATCTAATTCCAACTATACGACATTGTAGAAAAAGCAAAGCTGTAGGTAGAGATAGCAAAAAGGTCAGTTGTTCACAAGGTTTAGAGGGAAAAGTGGAAGAATGGATAAAGCATAGGAGATTTTTAAGAAATGAAACTATTTTATATGATACTATAGTCATAGATATATAGTCATAGATGACATACTTTGTCAAACCCATAGAGATATATAGTACAAATAAACCCTAATGTAAACTATGGACTTCAGTTAATGATAATGTATAGATTATTGGTTCATTAATTATAACAAATGTACCCAACTAATGCAAGATATTAATAGGAAGGAAAACTGTGAGGGTAAGGGAATACATGGGAACTCTGTAGTATCTGCTCAATTTTTCTGTAAATCTAAAACTATTCTAAAACATAGTCCATAAAATAAATTTTTAAAAATCCAAGAGAACAGAAATTTTTAAAAAGATGATTGACTACCTAAAGCAAAAATAATAGGTGGGTAGATCAAGATGGCGGACGAGAAACACCGCCAGACAGAGTGTCTCTGCAGAAAAGACAGATTCTAGCAGAAATTAGAAAAAAGAAGCAAGAAGACGAGCATACAGCGGATGAGGGCCGGAAGGAGGGGTACCTGAGACCCTGGGGGACTCCACGGGAGGAGGCTGCGGAGGAGAACTGGAAGCTGAGACCACCAGCGCAGCCTGGAGACCAGCGGCAAGGGTAGATGGATTTGCTGTTTCCCCTCCCCTGCATTTGGGACAGCTGGTGAGCTCCCCAACGGGTGGAGAGACCTGCGGACACCAGCCCAGAGACCGCCGCCGCCAGCCAGTGGTGAGCCTGTAGCGGACGCGGCACCAGGCTTCCAACTACCACCCGGCACCTCCGTGTGCACAGACCCGAGCCGTGTGGCAGGCGCCATATTGCCTCCTCCTCCCCTCCACCGACCCTACCCGCGGCTGCCCAGAGAGACAATACAGCCACCAGCCAGAGGCACCTCCAGGGAACGGGACCTTCCCTTTTGGGACCCTACAGCTGACTCAGAGGAACTCAGACTGTGAGCTCCCTACCCGCCAGCCCTCACAGGTGCTGCTGGCAGGGTGTTTCCAGGAGAACAGTGCAGACTCAGAGGCTGAGAGACACAGACCCAGCTTGGGCTCCGTGTGGGTGAATTGGGAACGGCACTCCTCTCCCTGGGGGGGATACAGTTTGAACTCTGGGACCCACAGTTCGGACCTGCAGACCAGATCCCGTGCACCAAGGTCTAGCATTGCCTGGGACACAGAAGGAATATACATGAACAGCCTACTGAGGTGTGTGTGCCTTCAGGGGCAGATCAGCATCCTAGAGGGCAACCCTCCTCCCAAAAGGAGGCCGTACGCCCAGCCCAGGTGGCTTTCCTGCGCAGGGAACCTCCCCTCCAGATTCACAGTCCAGGGAAGCCTGGTGGCGTGTGGTCTGGCTTGCTGGCAGAGGCCAAGGAGTAGCTGCGGAGTGGGGGAGGGTAGAAAGAAGCAAAGCCCGCTCCAGACTGCGGGTCTCAGACAGCTCCACCCCCACATGCAGACTTTCTGGCTGAACTGGACCATTCCAGCCCTGCCCTGACAGCTTTTCCTGGAAGCAAAGAACAGAACTTTGACCCCTGCTAACGGCACTGGTGGTGCCTGAGGGCAGGCTTACTCAACACAGCTCTGCCCAGAACAAGTGCTGATAACAGGACACAAAAACAACAGCATAGCCTGTTCCACTAAGCAAGCGCCACCTACTGACAGGGCCGGCATCCTGCACAGCCTTTTCAAGGCATCCACTGACTCATTATACAGGGAGTGGTCGAATCTCACCAACACGCACACTACGCTCAGAATAAACAAGTGGTGAATTACCCAAACAAAGCCTAAAGGAGAGAACAACTGATCGCATGGAGAACTTCAGTGAAGACTCAGGAAATATAAAGAACAAACAAAAACACCGACCACCAAAGAGGAGCACGGACCCCAAGAAATGGACACCAAACAAACATCAGGCTACCAACATGACAAAAGGGAAAAGTGGGAAAGGAATTTCGTATTTGGATCTAAGAATCACTAACTGCAACCAACCTCAATACAACACAAGAAACCACAAAAGTCTTCAGAAACTTAACAAAGTTCACTAAAGAAAATAGCCACAATTAAGAACTGTTAACCGAATCCTGGAAAGAAGAATCAATTAACTACAAAATACAGTGGAAAGCTCAAGTCAGGGTAGAATCAAACAAAAAGAATCTCAGGATGAATAACATCCTCCACTAATAAAAACGGTCCAGGACAAAGCATGAGAACAAGAGAAAGACAAGCCTACAAGATTGGATTATTGAAGAAAACCTAATGGAGTGAGGTCATAGGGGTACAAGACAGGGAAGAAACAGACCACTCAGGTTGGAAAAGCTGTTGAAAATATAATAGAGGAAAATTTCCCAGGCGCTGTCCTCAAGGAATCTCGATATGCATAGTTCAGAAGTCTCGAGGACCCTGGAAATAATGCAACAGACGAAGACGTCACGACATGCAGCTCAGACTGACCAATAGTATCAACAAAGGGCCTTCTAATGCTGTTTAAGCGAAGAGCAGTGACATTACAAGAAAGCATCGAATAACACAGGCTTCTCTAATGAGCTACAGCAAGGATGAGAATGGCCGCGCACTGATCACTATGGAACAAAAACGGAGAGGCGCAGCCTAGGGCATCTGGTTAGTCCTGCAAACACTGCTTCGGGTTGTGAAGGAGGCGCAGGTAAAGACATGCAGACAAGGCAGACGATCTCAGAGATTTCGACCGAGAGACAAGACCAGCCCTACAAGTAGTACTCAAACCCTGTACGCACAGAACACCATATAAAACAGAATGATTTAAAAACAACCAAAACAAAGATATAAGCCGATAATACAATGGCTCTGGGAGAAATCAAAGCACCGAACATACAGACCCAACAGATGAACAGTAATCTACCTTAGCTTTCAGTTCTCTCAAGTAAATGGTAATGGCTTACGACTCTGCGCACTCGCAGCAGGGGACATAGCTGGCTGAAAGGGAGTAAGAAGTAGCGAGCGCAGAGTATATTGCTGTCTTCAGGAGAAAACATTTAGACCTGCAAGAGTGCATATAGACTAAAGAGTAAGCAAGGGGTGGAGATCAGGGTCGCAAGTGAAGCAAGAGCGAAGGCTGGTGTGCGTCTAATTTCAGACGATTCTTTCGTGGGAACATAAAAGTAGTGAAAACAAAGAGGGTATATTTAATGGTGAGTGACACTTCAACAAGAAGGTGATACAATTAAAATTATATGCACCCAACTTGAGGCACCCAGTTTCAAAGCAGGACCGTTACTGGATCTAAGCAATGGATTAATAGCAAACTCATAATCGCGAGATTCAACACCCTGACGGCACAAGACAGGATTCCTCCAAACAGAAATAATAAGAAATATGAACTTAAACAAACCCAGAGACGAGATTGAGTCTGACTGAGCATCTACAGGACAATTCTACCCCAGATCCACTTTTACGTTCTTCTCATCAGCTTCACGGACTTCTCTAAGATGACCTATCCTTAGGACACAAGTAAATCTCAATGAAATTTAAAAAGTAGAAGAGTCAGTACCGATGTACCTTTCAGATCACAGTGAGATAAACTAGAAGACGTCAACAGCG